AGGTGATGTATGAATTGAGGAGAAACAGCTAGAAAAATAACAAAACATTGTGATTTGCAAATTGAAGTCGAGTGATTATGAAGAAATCAATGGTTGTACTAATAGTAATAGGAGCCCTTGGAGCAATATCCAAAGGGCTGCCTAGATACATGGAAATTTTGAAGTTATTAGACCAGAATATCCGGTTTTTGCAAAAAAACCAAAAAACCACTCTATCCAGAACTGTCTTTATACTCAGACATTTACCTTAAAAGCTCATAGGTTCTTGGTTAGGACTTGAACAGTCCCAGACTGTGAATCAAATTGAAGACTAAAAATTAAATAATAATATCAGTAGTAATAATAATGAAAGTATTTAGCTAATGAAAGTTAAAACTCAAATTGACACTCTCATTATACGTGGTGTTCTGCCACAAGCAATGACACCAGTATGATGAGACAAGGATGTCCTGCTGTGAGGGGCGGCACCGGTGCAATGAGCCATAGGGCATCCTGTCACGAGTGGTGGCACTGGCACGATACACAATGTGGCATTGGGGCGCAAGTGGCAACAGAACTCATTGTGTCAGTGCTAAGGGAAGCGGGTGTGGGGTGCGTGGGGCAGCTCCATGCCCCATCTCCACCCTAGCTTGATTTTTACACATGCCCTTGCCCCACCTGGTACAACCAGACGGTGGGAGGGAGTGGGCAGTCTTAACTAGGGCTTATTTGGTGGGGTAGGGCTTATATAAGGTGCACACATAAAAATCTTGATTTTCGGGATAGGTATTATTTTTGGGAAACACGATATTTCATACTTTTTTTTGAAGAAAAGTGTTCTGAAAAAAATTACATTTATGTTCTACTTAGTAAATGCTGCTTATCAGTATGTTCAAAATGTTTTACTGCTATACAAATAGTCCTCAACTTATATTCATTTAGTGATCAAAGTTATAACAACACTAAAAAAAGTGACTTATGACCATTTCCCATACTTACAGCTACCTGTATTTGGTGTTATTTTTCTCCTTTTACAAGCAGAGGCTTAAATTTTATAATTCTGAATTCCCTCACCTTTACGGATGAATGAAATCAATGACACTGTTGAATATTTATTAGTAATTATTGCTGTAATTATATACTGTACACCTATATTATATATTATATATATATAATATAGGTGTACAGTATTTTGGTGGGAATATGTCTTCATTTCATTTTACATTATACAGTATATTAAAAATTCCTTAGAACTCATGAAAACTGCAAGTTCAATTTATACAGGGAACTTTTTTTTCCAAATAGTGGCTTTTATGCTATTAGCTGAAGAAAGATTCTGCAATGTTGTCCTTTACGTAGTCTGCAGTCTCAAACATCTCCTTTGAGCTTGGTATTGTAGAGACTTCCCTGTTCTGGATCAGAAGGGAAAAGATAATTTAAAGAGAGCAGAGATGCTCACTTGGCACCTGGCAGCAGCAGATTACAAAAACATACTCTTTTCCTTGACTTCTGTACCACCCATTGAAAGTATTGGGGTGGGGGATGTAACATCCATGCCCATTTAAGTGCCAAATCATCTTTTTCTTCAAATCTGCAACCCTGCAGCTGTGTATTGGCTCAATGCTTTTACAGATGTATTCATGTTTGCTTAAATTTCCCAAGGGAGCGAGGAGGTGGCAAAAGAATCCATTTAAATGATCTTGGATCTTCAAGATCTATCAAGTGTATTTACCTTCCCAGACTTTCATCTTTCCTTCTTGATGAAATTATACAATTTACATTTTGCAGCTAACCTCAAAGAGGGAGGCTGCTGAATGCATCCGGTAGAAAATGGAAAAGGGCATTGCAAGATTCACCACAATGATCCAAGGTTCAAATCCAAAAACCATTTCTTCCAGGCCATTGTCATATTCAGGGCGGCAACCAAAAGCTTGCGGAATCCAAAGCTATGGAAAAAAAAGAACATTTTTTTTAAAAAAAATCTTACATTACAAATTATGCTTGAAATTATGCTGGGGACAATATTTTCCAGCTTTATTCAAATAATTTAACTAAAAATTCAGTTGCAGAATTCTAAATTTTATTTTGCATTGTGTGTTTGTTCACATGGTCATGTAATCTTTGTCCTGGTTTCAAAATCTTTTTCTTAGGTTTAAAATTATACACTGAAAAAAAACAATAGAATTTAATATTAATTGAACAAAATAAATAATTTTAAAAATAGCTATGAGAAGCAAGGGGACTCATTGCACTTCATAAGCCATTGTAGGGCATAACTGACCTTGTCAGGCATGGCACCTGGTTTCTGATTGCAACTGCTAGTACATGAATTTTTTTCTGGACCAATCACTTCATGATCTCCTAGATATTCTTAAAATNATCTGCTAGTGGGTCTTCGAACCTGCGGCGGAGAGCCATCATGAAATTGTCAAAGTTCCGAGCTCCAGGGCATCTGCATTATGGAGGGTCACCATTCACCTAGCCACTGCGCCCTCCAGGACCAGGGTGATGACTCTGATTAGGGCACCCTGGGTTTGGAAATGTGCCAGGAAGAAACCCAATTGTTGTGGATCGCCATTGTACTTGATGCTGAGGGGTGGTGTTTTCTGTTCCAGTTGTGGGATTCTCATCGGTCCCGAGACCGATGAGGGATCGGTGTTAAGTGTGGCAGGTCTGCATTCTCCATTTCTATGCTTTCTTCCCTGCTCGAAAATGGCTTGCAAGGTCTCCTCAGTGGAGCAATGTTTCTCCAGATTAACCACTTGAAGATCCTGCTTAATGTAAAGACATGCCTCTCCTTTCTATTCAAGAAAGTAGAATTCTTGAAATGATTGGCATTTCAAAAGGAAACTTTTATTGAGAGAAAGTAATAGCAAGTCAAAGAAAGCAGGATCCAAGCATTCCTGCACAATTCCGTTAGGTTAAAAAAAATAAACCCCTCCTCTCAGTCTGTTGTACGACAAGCCAATCCACAAGTGCGAAATTGTTTTGAGGACCTCATACTGAGAAGGTGATAAGTTGTTCTCAGGCTTTGCTTGCTGTAGGCTCCGGTGCTGAGACAAAATAGATGGCTCTCAATTCAATCTCTCCCCCCCTTACATTTCCAGGAAGGTACATCAAAGTAGAGGCAACAGGAAAAAGGTTATAAAGTGAGGAATGGATCCAGACCTTCCCCACTGGAATGGCAGCATCCTGATAGGGATTTATGGAATCTGACAGTGCCCCTGGTTTAGATGAGCTTCATGGATTCTGTTGAAATCACTAAGAAGTTTGCATGCAAGAATAGCAAACCAGATAAATCAGGTTTTGGAAACATCAGAAAGTGAAAAATAGCTAACAACCAGAAGAACATTTTTCATTCAGAAGGATGCAGAAAAGAGAAATAAACCTGAAAATTACAGACCAACAACTTGCTTGCCAACAATATACAAATTACTTACAGGCATTATTGCAAACCAAATTTATGGATATTTGGTAAACAAGGATTTGCTGCCTATAGAACANGAAAACCTGAATCTGAAGTCTTCCAGGTTTTCCCCACTTGGTTGAAAGTTTAAGATCTTGCCCCACACCCAAAAATCCATCACATGGTCCAATCTCCCACTGCCATGCTGGCAGTTCCACCCATCCAGTTCCGGTCAGGTGCAGAGGTGCAGAGACAAAGAATCACCTTGGCTTTCTAGAAAGAATTTTGTTTTGACTATACAGTAAATAACTCCGTACAATCCCTCCTTCCATTTTCCCACAATATAAAATGCATAGTAGAATAATAGAAAATATGGCAGGATAAAGATCCAAAAGAAAGATGGCTGCAGGCCTGACACTATCCTTTCCTTGTAAAATTCACACATTGACAGTTTCACATAAAGCTTTGGAGCACAAAGTTTGTTTAGGATCGCACGGACAAGTTTTACATGCTCTACTTTTATTTCTGTGTAGATTAAAATGTCATCTAAGTATACCAAAACCCATTTGTAGAGGTGCTCATAGAGCACCTCATTTATTAATTGCATGAAAACTGCTGGAGCTTCCTGCAATCTGAATAGGAGTACATTGAAATGGAAGCACCATAGTGGGATGTTGAGAGTGATTTTCCATTTGTCTCCTTCCCTAATTCTGACCCTGTAATAGGCTTCCTGCAAGTCCAAGTTAGAGAAAATCTTCTCCTTCGAGAGGTGGGCTAATGTCCTAATGGGGGGAAAGGAGTACACATTCTCCATGCTAACAGTGTTCAGACCCCTATAATCAAGGCATAAGTGCAAAGACCCATCTTTCTTCTCCTGTAACACCACCAGAGCCGCTATTTGAGGTTGGGCTGATTGGATGAAACTCTGGGCTAGGTTTTTGTCTATGATAGTCCGCAATTCCTCAAGTTCCCTTGGGGACGTATAATACAGCTTTGGCTTCAATAGCTTCACACACCCCCGAGAGTAATTCAATTGCACAGTCTGTGGGGTGGTGGGGGGGGAGCTCATTAGAGCCCTCTTTGCTGAACACCTCAATTAAGTTTCTATATTCCTGAGGAATGCCCTGTGGCAGTTTATTTATTTATTTATTTATTTATTTATTAGACTTATATACCACTTCATAGGGCTTTCAGTTTGCCCTTCCCCGCAGTGGCTGTTTCCTTTCTGGGGTTTTCCCAGTTCCTCCCTGCAGTTATCAGTTCTGATCACTCCCCACTGGAATCTTAAGTATAATCTTTATTGTCATTGTACTTAAATACAACGAAATCTTAGGATTACTCTTTCCAGTCTACTCTCGGATGCCACTGCTTCAGCCAGATGAACCCCAGAACCAGAGGCCACTTTGTTCCTAGTGTCACAGTGAATGTGAGTCTTTCATTGCGGGCTCCCATGGCTATTTCCAAGAGTTCCATAACAAGAGTGGCTGGTTCCCTGCCCACAACTGGCCCATCTAGCTGACAAAATAAAACCAGAGTTTTTAGCTTCCACAGGCAAATGCCCAATCTCCCCACCATGGTTGGGCTTATTAAGCACCTAGTGCACCCCAAGTCCAGGAAGGTAGAAAGTCTTACTCTCTTTTTTTGACTGGGATGAATAATCTTCCATACTTGAAGTAGGCAGTTGATTATGAGGGGACAGCCTGAGGCTTGAATAGGTCTCACTTCCCTTGGGGCGGCAATCTCTTCCAGGTCCTCCCAGATCAGTACTGGTTTCTGGTTAGATTGATTTCTACTTCTTCTGCC